CTCCTTCTAGGATTGAGGAATTTCTAACCTTTGCTCCACAGGAAAGTAAAACTCCTTCCCCTAAGGCATAGATCCAATCTGGGTCCCTCGGGGAGCTAAGCAGCTGAGTGTGCTCTCTCTGATTCTGGACTCTGAAAGTTTCCTATTTTTAAATGTAAATATGTATTTCTAATTAACCCCCCCCTTTTTTTTAAAAGCAAATGCACATGTTTTGAATGATGGGGTGAAGTAGGAGAATGTCCAGCTCGCTCAGTATTGTATCTTGACTGGAAGCCCCCAAATTTTCTATAATTAACATGTGGTATTTTTATAATTAAGAAAAAACCATCATGTAAAGTCCAATCATGCAGTAAATTTAAAAACTGTGAGTTTGGGGAAAGGTAATTTAATAATGAGTCAGAGATTGGTTGACTGGAATGACAAGCATAGGGGCCAGAGAAAGAATGAGGGGTCCAGGGCATCAAAGGGTAAGCTACACCCCAAGTTCAACTCTAAAAAGGTCCTATATATTTCATACCTATAATTCTGCACCTATGTTCCCAACCCATGCTTCTTCTCTGAGTTTTGGGTGTAGGTTTACAAAATGCCTCTAATATTTCTACCAGATAACTTCAAGCTCATCATGAAAAACAAAAGACTCCCTCTTCTCTCCTCACCACTTCCAAAATTGTTCTTCCTCTTAAACTCCCTAATTTGGTGCCTCTGCCAGCCCATTGATCATATCCCAAGTTTGAAAGTCAACCAACCCTTTTCTGTGCTCCTCATTCTGAATATGACTCTGAGTTTGGGTACCAAGTCCTGGCAATGCATCGCCTACATGTTTCTTGACCCCCTTTCCTCTCTTCCATCCTGACCACCACAGAGCTGTGGTTGTAGTAGGTGACCCCCATTGTTTGTCACCTGGATGGGAGCTACAGCCTCTTCACTGGTCTCCCTCTCTCTCTTCTTCCTTGTCTTCAGTTCATCCTCCAACCTGCAACCAGAATGGGCTTAATAGCCTATGAAATTACCTACACTTATAAAAACTGACAACCCCATTCCCTGGTGCCTTTCTCACCTTCTGAGATGGCCAACACTCTGTGGAGTGTGTTTCTCTCTAAATAAATCCACTTCTGGGCTTCCCTGGTGGCTCAGTGGTTGAGAGTCCGCCTGCCGATGCAGGGGACACGGGTTTGTGCCCTGGTCTGGGGGGAATCCCACGTGCCGCAGAGCGGCTGGGCCCGTGAGCCATGGCCGCTGAGCCTGCGCGTCCGGAGCCTGTGCTCCGCAACGGGAGAGGCCACAGCAGTGAGAGGCCCGCGTACCCCCCAAAAAATAAATAAATAAAATAAATCCACTTCTTACCTAAAAAAAGAAAAAAAAAAAAAGCTAACCTAGTCATGGTACTTCCCTGCTCCTGTCAGAGAACTGACCATCAAAGATCAGTGTTTCCTTCTCACAGTACTGAGATCACAGTACTGAGCTGCCCATAGAGCCAGGGGCTACATATTCCAGGACTGTGTTTAAATTGAGCCCTATGATAAGTTCTTGACAACGGAGCATGAGAGAAGTGATGTGTGTGTGTCTTTCTGGGCTGAAGTGGGTAAATGCTGGGAAATCTTCCCAGATAGCATGCTTCTCATCTACAGCAACCCGAGGAGCTCCTTGTGAACAAGGTTTCTGGAGTCTCAGGTCCAGAATCGCTCTGGGAGGAAAGTCACCCAACCAGGAACACCCTCATTGACCTGGACCAGAAATAAGACAGTTTTGTTGTGTTAATCCACTGAAAATTCAGTGATTATTTGGTTCATCAGCTAGTGTAACCTTGACTAATATTTTGATTAAATCATAACAGTTCCCTTAAAATAACTTCAAAACTGTTTAGAGTCGTGCCCAAGGCTTAGAATCATGACCTGGCCTCTTCGTTCTTGTATCACAGAATCTCTGCTCCCTACTCCTTACCCCTACTCATCCAGGTCCTTCTGCCTGGAACGCCCTTTCTTTCTTATGCTTGTGAACTCTTCTTTTTCCCAAGACTTAGCTCAGATGTTTTCTCTTCTGAGAAGCTTTTCCTTACTATTCCTTCCCTGCAACTTCTTTCCACTTTTTCTTACCTTGTATCAAACTTCATAAGATGCCTGGCAGCTCATACACGTACATTCGTCACACTTAAACCTTTGTGTGTGCGTCCTTGTAACTGACATATAACCTCCGTGAAGGAAGAGACATATGTTTCTCTCAAATATCCCAGCATCGAGCTCAGTGCCAGGCTGGCTGGTGCTCAAGACCTATTTGCTGAGTCAAATTGAGTATGAGGTCACGTGGATGAAGGTTCGGGGATGAAGAGGGAACATGTGAAAGCTGGCTGAGGGAGGGTGCCAAGGAGGATGGTCTGCTCCTCCCTTTGGGGTTTGGCAGGGTCAGAGCTATAAACTGTAAGTGGCCTCTGAGGAAAGCATTTGCAAGTGGTACCGGCTTGTGTTCCGCGTTCAGCTGAAGGAATGGGGATCCAGGCGGACTAGCTGGAGTTAAGCAGGGTGGGAGTGAAAAGCCATAGGGAGGGTAGGTTAAGCCCTGTAGCTTGGCTGTTCACCTGTAAATCTCTCCTAGTAAAACACATTTAAACTCTAAGTTGCTGCTGACTTAGCAGGATGCAAATGCCTAGAGGAGAGCATGAACCCCTGCTGTGCTTTCACACTCACCCTCTAAGAGAAGCGTAACCCTAGGGAGGCGGTGCTTGTGGTAGAACTGATGGGCAGTGAGTGAGCCGTCTCCTCCCACACGAAGGCATCCTTGCTCATGTCATCGGAAGGCTCGCACAGGGTCTAATCTCCATTTTTCATTGTTGGTAGACGTAAGGAAATCCCAGATACACAACCAAAGCACCACGGTCAGTGAGTGACAGACTCCAGCCTACAGCTCAATGGCTGGGCCCCCCACTGGTGGTCCCAGCAGGTCACAGAACCTAGAGTCGGCCAGTGGTCAGAGAAGCAGACACACTCATTTAACCCGTGTAAGAAATGACATTTTCTAGGTTCAGTTCCTAAATACTCAAAACACACCCCCAAGTTTCTGTCTACAACCTTGTCAAACTATTAAGCAACTGACACTAGCCCATTTTGGTTCAATGGACAGTTTTTTCTTCCACTGAATAATCAGAAATAACCATTTGTGTTGGTTTCGCGTAGTTAGGGGACTTTCAGTAGTAACAGAAAATGCCACTCGAATTGGCCTAAATAATACACTTAGAGCTCACATGACTGGAAGCCTCACAATGGGGCATGGAATTTAGGGCTAGTAAATCCCGAAGTTCAACATCGTCATCAAGAGCACAAGTTCTGAGGGTCCCTTTCCTTCTTTGTCCATAATTCTGGCTTCTGCCTCGGGCTGGCTCCCCTCACAATGGTACGATCTAGGGGTAGAAGAAAACAAGAGCCTATCCCTCAGTCATGAAATAAAATTCCTCCCTTCCAGCCGATGGTCATGTGTGGGCTCTGAACCAACAGCTGTTGCTAGGAGAATGCCATACAGTGGTTGGTTTCAGGGCAGGGTCCTCAAACTATCTGATGGGATTAACATGTTTGGCTTTGATTCATCAGTACCCATCTCATTCCAGGAGCTGAAGTTACTTCCTAAAGCACCATGGATGTCGGTGGAAAGAGTGGAAAACATGTTGGAGAATTGAACACGATGTCCACTATACTGTCTAAAATCATTCAGTCAAAGGGGTGGGAGGGGGAAGAGAGAGACAAAGGAAAACCAAGTTTGACTGAGTAATATCTGTGGCACCAGGAACCACAGACTCAGTGATGCAATAGACAATATCTAGCCTGATGTTAATTGATAAGGAGACAACACCTTTTGATTCTTGGTTGAACACCAACCAGAATGAGCAAAATGAGTAGGTTAATTTCAGCTGTTTTCTTTTCTTCTTCTTCTTCCTTTCCCCCCACCCCTCCCCTCTACCTTCCTCCTTTTCTTCCCCTCCCCTTCCTCCACCTCTTTTCCCTTCTCTCCCTCCTCCTTCTTTCTGGCTCTTTCTTTGCTTACTTCTTAAAGAGATCATGACTCCTCCCTTCCCGCTTTGACTCCAAAGACCACCATTTTGGCCCTCAAAGAGCAAAAAATTAAAATAAGGAAAAAAGCAAACTGTTTCTCAGGCAGGTCACGTGTTTGGAACAACTCGCTACCATGAGCCTCTCATCCCACTTTGAAAAATACATTCCTGCTAGGACCTAAGAGGTTAGGAAAGTGAGCGAGTTAAGTCCAAACACATACCAGAATAAATTAAATAACAGAGTTAACGAATTCAACTGTAGCATGGTTTTGCAGAAGTGGTAAATTGCGTTTTAAGGCAGAAGTGTTTGGTTCAAGGTTATTTGGAAGTAATCTTGGCAAGTGGACTGGAGTGAAGGAAGGCTTTTAAAGGCAGGGGAAAGGATGAATTTGGCACTTTTGGATTAGGTAGTACAGGAGGGCTATTAGCAAATGGATCTGTTTTTAACCTGGAATGTTATACAGGGTGTGCTGCATAATTTACTTTACAATGATGTTCAGATAAGGGTTATTTAAATTACTCTATGGGGGACTTCCCTGGTGGCGTGGTGGTGAAGAATCCACCTGCCAATGCAGGGGACACAGGTTCGATCCCTGGACCGGGAAGATCCCACATGCCGTGGAGCAACTAAGCCCATGCGCCACAACTACTGAGCCTGTGCTCTAGAGCCCGTGCTCCGCAACAAGAGAAGCCTCCGCAATGAGAAGCCCGCGCACCGCAACGAAGAGTAGCCCCCACTCGCCGCAGCTAGAGAAAGCCCGTGCACAGCAACAAAGACCCAATGCAGCCAAAAATAAATAACTAAATAAATAAATGTTAAAATAAATAAATTACTCTATGGGAAACTCCAATGAAATATTTTGATAAGAGACAGAGTGAGATGAATAGATAACTACAAGTGAAATGTCCAAAAAGGTAAATTTCTATGTCATACAGAGTGAGGAAAGGAAAATGGTTGGTTGTGGCTTTCGATTTTAGATTTTAGTTTGATTTATCTGCAAGTCTTCTGCAGACTCGGGTAAGTTTGGTGTTCTCGAAAGACTGCAGTTTTCTCCTGGGGGTGATATTTGCAATGCATCCAGGCAAGATTCCATCAGCATTCCTGAGAGTGATCTTGGTTGATGTCTCTGGCTCCTGCAGGGTGTGATGTGGCATCCTCGCTGCCCAGCCCAGAGTTTCCTGCTGGGACTCTTGCAAATGGTGGAGGTCATTTGAAGGCATGTCTAGGGAACACGAAGGCTGTAGTCACCTTGACCATGTGGCCAGCCCTTAGAACCCTCCCTGTTTCCCTCCTTCCAATAGATACATATGGTGGGAACATAAACTCTAGGGACAATCCCACCAACTTATTGAGGAGTTGAAGATACAGGGTACTCAATGAGTGATGTAGTTTTCTCTCCCACCATGTCACCCTCTCTCTCCCGTGTCCTAATCCAGGCTTAGACACGAGAGTTTCTCTTTCTATGACTAGTAGAAAGCAGAATTCCCTCTACTCTTGCATGAACTGAGTTGGGTGCTTCATTAAATGTTCATATTACAGGATATGTAATATCCTTTTTCCTTTTTCAATTTTCCCTCTTATTTATTTCCTTGTTTACCACATCAATAGTTCATAATTACCTTCTTGTTATAAGAAATCCTTGACTAAAGAGATTTCAAAACTTCCTTCCCATTTCCTCTCACTGTTATCAGTCCGATGAGGAACTTTCCTTACCCTTTCCTATTCATTTACATCCACATAAAAGTATAGGTAGAGTGGGAGTTTGGGATTAGCAGATGCAAACTATTACATATAGGATGGGTCAAAAACAAGGTCCTACTATATAGCACAGGGAACTATATTCAATATCCTGTGATAAACCATAATGGAAAAGAATATGAAAAAGAATATATATATGTATAACTGAGTCACTTTTCTGTACAGCAGAAATTACACACAACATTGAAAATCAACTATACTTCAACAGAATTTTTAAAAGCTATAGGTAGAAATACATGGTTTTACTTCAAGATTAATTATTTTTTTATTTTTAAAAGCTATGTTCCATTTATAGTTATTGTAAAATATTGGCTATATTCCCCGTGTTGTACAATACATCCTTGTAGCTTATTTTATGCTAATCGTTTGTACCTCTTAATCCCCTACCCCTATATTACACCTCCCTCCCTCCCCCTCCCCACTGGTAACTAGTTTGTTCTCCATATCTGTGAGTCTGTCTCTCTTTTGTTATATTTGCTAGCTGGTTGTACTTCATGATTATTTGTATATAACATGATTCTTTATAAATTATTCTGCTATGTGCTTGGAGATCCTTTTTCATGCAAAAATGAATACCTTATTCTCTGTAAATGCAGCAAAACATTTAATAGGGTATGAAGTATTCACCTTCTGATAAATATTTATAGTTTGTGGTAATGTGACCTCTGATGTGCTTCTTGCCTGGCTGATGTGTAACAGTGACTCAGTCTCTTGTGGGGAACTTTCCTGAACTCTTCGGTGATGCCTGCTGGGTTGCTCTGTCTTGAATTCCTTTAACCTGGGTGGACACATACCTGCTCCAGGTGGTTTCCTGGGACCACTTCTTAGATCCTGGCATCCAGAACACTTCTTCTGCTGATGTCCTTCTGTACACAGCCATGCAAACAGCCTCCGGGACACCCCATATGGCCACACATTTCTGTTTCTGCCCCTGAAGCAGTCGGTCAACCGTCTTCTTGTCTCCTAGACATGCAGGTGAAGTTAGGCTGAATTCCACAGCCCGCTTTAACTTTCTTCAGGGTGGGAGGTGGATGAGGAGACTCCAAGGCTGTGGAACAGTTTCTCAGTCATCATCTTGAAAATCTGCAAATGGTGTTGGGTTACTGAAGGTAGCCCAGCCAGTGTAACAAATACATCCAAGACTCAACACAACAGATATCTGATCCTTGCTACCTAAGAGTCCTGAATTGTTGAGTTGTTCCAGGTCAGAGGAGGGGGCTTGTGTTGTCTGAGGGGGATGCTCTGCTCTGTGTGGTCATTCAGGGACCAGGATGATACCATCTTCAACATGTGGTTTCCATGGTCACCTTGGGGGTAGCCCTCCTCTTCATCTGGGAGAAAAAAGAAAGTAAGATGGAGTACGTGGGGGAGATTTTTATAAGCAAGGTCGGGAGTAGGAACACACACATCACTGCTTCCCATGTGACATTTCCCAGCACTCAGCCACAGGGCCACACCTGACTGCTGGGAAATATAGTCTAGCTGTGTGGTTATGAAGGACAGAGCACGGATTTGGGTGAAGAGCTGTCTCTGCCGTCGGTAATTTCATAATCCATATTGGAAGTTCATTTTTTAAAAAATGGAGTGACTACAAAACTATAATTTTGACACATTATACTTGCATTTCTCACATTAGACTTGCATTGATTTATTTCAAAAGGAAATCCCAGTTGTTCCAAAATCCTGCTTCACATTGTAGCAGTTCTTTGCCTCTTTCCTCAAAATTATCCCGGTTCTCAAAAGTCTTAGCCTGACCTCCTGTGGTCCTTCTTTCTTTCCTCCCTGTGGCCAAAACAGCTCCTAATGTAGTGGAAAAACTTTCCTCAGAGGATGGTTGTTGAGAATAAATTGAGTAGCAAGGCTAGAATCCTCTTCAGTGGTATGGGAGAGAAAAAAGGTTAAAATATGTCAGTCATTAATAATTTTATAATATCACATTTGAATCATACTGCCATCTTTTTCTATAAAATTATTTATTTATTTACCTATATGTTATCTACCTATCTATCTATGTATCATCTATCTTTTATCTATCCAGACTCTACCAGATATGGTGTTTTATAATACTTCAAGGAATATACTTTAAGCCTACTTCCCTGGCATTAAACATGATTCTAAAATAGCATTTAAAATGGTTGCATTGTCTTAAATTGTATGGCTATATTATCATTAGTTAGTCCTACTAACAACAATTTGGGGTTAAGCATGCCTGTATATTCACCCATACATTTGTTCATTGTTTTAAAATAGATCTTTATTGGAGTATAATTGCTTCACAATGCTGGGTTAGTTTCTGTTGCACAACAAAGCGAATCAGCCACATGCATACACATGTCCCCATGTCCCCTCCCTCTTGAGCCTCCCTCCCATCTTCCTTATCCCACCCCTCTAGGTCACCGCAAAGCACCAAACCGATCTCCCTGTGCTATGCTGCTTCCCACCAGCCGACTATTTCACATTCGGTAGTGTGTATATGTGTCGATGCTACTTTCATTTCGCCCCAGCTTCGCCCTCCCACCCCATGTCATCAAGTCCATTCTCTATGTCTACCTCTTTATTCCTGCCCTGCAACTAGGTTCATCAGTACCTTTTTTTTTTTTTTAGATTCCATATATATGCGTTAGCATATGGTATTTGTTTTTCTCTTTCTGACTTACTTCATTCTGTATGACAGACTCTAGGTCCATCCACCTCACTACAAATAACTCAATTTTGTTCTTTTTATGGCTGAGTAATATTCCATTGTATATATGTGCCACATCGTCTTTATCCATTCATCTGTCGATGGACACTTAGGTTGCTTCCATGTCCTGGCTATTGTAAACAGAGCTGCAATGAACATTGTAGTACGTGTCTCTTTTTGAATTATGGTTTTCTCAGGTTATATGCCCAGTAGTGGGATTGCTGGGTCATATGGTAGTTCTAATTTTAGTTTTTTAAGGAACCTCCATACTGTTTTCCATAGTGGTTGTATCAATTTACATTCCCACCAACAGTGCAGGAGGGTTCCCTTTTCACCACACCCTCTCCAGCATTTATTGTTTCTAGATTTTTTTGATAATGGCCATTCTGACTGGCATGAGGAGGAATCAGGCTCCCTGACTTCATACTATATCACAAAGCTACAGTAATCAAGACAGTATGGTACTGGCACAAAAACAGAAATATGGATCAATGGTACAGGATAAAATGCCCAGAGATAAACCCATGCACATACGGGCACCTAATTTACAACAAAGGAGGCAAGAACGTACAATGGAGAAAAGACAGCCTCTTCAATAAGTGGTGCTGGGAAAACTGGACAGCTACATGTAAAAGAATGAAATTAGAACACTATCTAACACCAAACACAAAAATAAACTCCAAATGGATTAAAGACTTAAATGTAAGACCAGACACTATAAAACTCTTAGAGGAAGAGATAGGAAAAACACTCTTTGACATAAACTACAGCAAGATCTTTTTGACCCACCTCCTAGAGTAACAGAAATAAAAGCAAAGATAAACGAATGGGACTTAATTAAACTTAAAAGCTTTTTCACAGCAAAGGAAACCATAAACAAGACAAAAAGACAACCCTCAGAATGGGAGAAAATATTTGCAAATGAAACAACAGACAAAGGATTAATCTCCAAAATATACAAACAGCTCATGGAGCTCAATACTAAAAAAACAAGCAATCCAGTTAAAAAATGGGCAGAAGACCTAAACAAACATTTCACCAAGGAAGATCTACAGATGGCCAAGAGGCACATGAAAAGATGTTCAACATCACTAATTATTAGAGAAATGCAAATCAAAACTATAATGATGTTCATTGTTTTCTTATTTAAGAAATATTTACTATTATGTTCCCAGCATTGTTCTGACTAGCATGAGTGTGTGTGTGTGCATCTTCTTATTATTTCTTCAGGATTAAATTCTAGTAGAATTGTTTGTTGGAACATTTGAAAAAGTGAAAGGTTTTAATTACACACTTATGAATGTGTAACCATTTTAATTAACTTGCTAAGAAGTGAATGTGAAACCTGTTACACTCTTGTCAACACTAGGTATTCTCTTTCTTTATAATCATTCCCAATTTGATAGGCTAAAATGATTATCATTGTGGTTTTGATATGAATTTTTGATTACTGAGGTTGAGTATTTTATCTTTTGTTAATAGGCTACATGTGTGTATGTGTGTGTCTGTGAGAAATGTCTCTTCTTATCTTTTGCCCATTTTTTCACTGGAGAAATTTATCTCAAATTTATTTTTAAAATCTCTTTGTGATTTGAGAACATTAGGCTTTTGTCAGGCATGTGTATTGCAGTGATTTTCTCCAATGTTATTTGCCTTGTAATCTTATTTATGGTAATTTATGACATGCATAATTTTTTTTTAATTTATGTAGTAAGATAACCTCTTCATTCACTCCAGGAAGACCCATCTCCAGGTCAAGATTATATAAGAAATTATCCATGTTTTCTTCTTTTATTTCTATTTTCTCAGTTTTACTTTTACATGTTTAAGCCAATTGGATTTTATTTTATTATTTTTTATATAAATTTATTTATTTATTTTTGGCTGCATTGGGTCTTCATTGCTGCATGTGGGCTTCCTCTAGTTGCAGCGAGTGGGGGCTACTCTTCATTGCGGTGCATGGGCCTCTCATTGCGGTGGCTTCTCTTGTTGTGGAGCACGGGTTCTAGGTGCACGAGCTTCAGTAGTCGTGGCACGTGGGCTCAGTAGTTGTGGCTCACGGGCTCTAGAGTGCAGGCTCAGTAGTTGCTCTGTGGCATGTGGGATCTTCCTGGTCCAGGGATTGAACCCCTGTCCCCTGCATTGGCAGGCAGATTCTCAACCACTGCACCACCAGGGAAGTCCCTGGATTTTATTTTGAATGTGGGTATGGGGTAGAGATTTATCTTTATTATTTCCTAAATGCTTAGTCAGTTTTCCTCACATCATTTTATTAAATAATCCATTGTTTCCCCATGGATTTATAATGATGGATTTTTGATCTTAAATTCCAATATATACTTGGGTTCATTTTCAGTCCTTTTGTTCTGTTATTAATGTTTGTCTGTTTATTACTAGTACCACTCTATTTTATGTGCTCTGCAAATTTCTCCTCCCTACTCTATAAAAAAACCTCTCATCTGTTTTCCTAAATTTAGTCTTCCAAATACACATTAGAATTATTTTCCAAATTTTGAAATAAACCATTGAGATTTTATTGAGGTCATCTATTACTTAGTGAGAACTGGACATTGTTAAAACAGTGTGATTTCCTTTTCGGTCCACATCGTGTTTCTACATTCCCATTTTAAAATGTATCTCAATAATGCCATGGCATTAAAAAAATTAATTTTTAGGACTTCATATTTTTTAATTCTCACCAGATATTTTAAGCTATATGCAACTATGTTTTCTACTTAGTCATTGTTGATATGCAGTAAAATCATTACATTTTGTATACTGCCTTTTACCATTGTCCATCTTACTGAATTCTCCTTTAGTTTCCATGAATTTTAGTGTATTCTCTTAGATTTTCTGGGTGCTTACCGCTCACAAATAAGATTAGATTTCTTATAACTCTTTTTTTGTTTATTGCATTGACTCGTGCTTTAGAATTCTGTGAAGTGATGCTCCTATAACCTTATTTCACCACAAAAGAATATTCTGACTGGTGATTTATGATGGGTATTCCTTTAGTAAGAAATGGACATTAAATTTGATCATATTTCTTAGGGGCACTTTCCGTGATGAACATTTTGGCTTCTTGGACCTATAGACATTATGAACTTTTATAGAGTTTCTAACAAAGGAGACTTATTGCACTCCTGAAGTCAATTTTACTTGGAGAAGGAGCGCCTTTTAAAATCTTTGGGAATGGGTTAAACTTCTCTACAAAATATGAAAATACTGCAACAAATCATTGTCCATTTTCTTCGCAAGTATTTCTTGAGCTTCAAGAGTATATGATCTATTTCCTGCCACCTTGGTGTTTAGAGATTTGGCGATCACAATTTAAGACTGTAACCAGATGATTAAACCTTGGGAGAGGAGGACGGAAGTGTTGGAAAAGGGTCTGCAGGGGAGGTCTGTGGTTTTGGTAACATTCTATTCTTCAGTTGGGTGCTGAGTCTAGGTGGGTTTATTCTGTGTGTGTGTTTTAAAAAACTTTTTACCGAAGGTTCCTTATAAAACTAAAAATGGAGCTACCATATGATCCAGCAATCTCACTCCTGGGCATATATCTGGAGAAAAACATGGTTTGAAAGGCTACATTCACCCCAATGTTCACTGCAGCACTATTTACAATAGCCAGGACATGGAAGCAACCTCAATGTCCATTGACAGAGGAATGGATAAAGAAGATGTGGTACATACATACAATGGAATATTACTCAGCCATAAAAAAGAATGAAATAATGCCATTTGCAGCAACATGGATGGACCTAGAGATTATCATACTAAGTGAAGTAAATCAGAGAAAGACAAATATCATATGATATCAATTATATGTGGAATCTAAAAAAAAAGATACAAATGAACTTATTTACAAAGCAAAAACAGACTCACAGACTTAGAGAACGAACTTATGGTTATGAGGGGAGAAGGCCTGGGGTGGGGGGGTTAGATTGGGAGTTTGGGGTTGACATGTACACACTGATATATTTAAAATAGATAATCAACAAGGACTTACTGTGAAAAAATAAATAAAATAAATAAAAAATTTTAATCTCTTTTAGGTCTTTAACTTTATTACAAAATGTTAGAAAATTGTTTTTCATATCACAGCTCCTCCCTTTTTTTTGCGGTACACGGGCCTCTCACTGATACTGCTGGTCCAGGGACCACACTTTGAATAATGACTGTTGTAGAGATTCAGTTACTTTCTTTTCCAACTGCTACTGACTACACATTGTAGGGTAGCTACCCACCCACATACTCTTCTGGGGGAACCTAATCATGCACAATCCTTGTTGTCCCAAAGGACCAGGTGCTGACCTGAAAGGTCATCCATCAGTAAGCTAGCCACTGACCTTTGACTTGTGTGACCTCACTCAAAATGGTGAGCTGGACCAATCCGTCAGGAATTTGAATGAGGTGACATGGAGGACGGTTGACCAGCAGAGATGGGGCTGGTGTGACCATCACAGGCCTTGGTTGGCTGAAGCCCAGAAAGCTATCAGTTGAGGAAAAAGTAGACACTCACCCAGAAGCAGAGGCCCGACTGCCTACCTTTTGTTAAGCTTTTCCCCCTTCTCGCTGCTTGCTCCCTGCCCCCTGAGCCCATCCCCTCTGCCAGAAAGAATTGGCCCTTGGGCTTGAATTTCAGTGAAGCCATGAACAGAAAATGCACCATGAAATTACATGGCTCCCGCAAAAGAGGCGGCCATCTGCTTTTTCTTTAGGCCTTTCCCTACAGTCTGGGGTTATCTCCCCTTCCTGGTGATACTGTACATATTTAAGAAAAAGGAAGCCTTTATTTAAAAAAAAAAAAACAGAATGCAGGATATTCGGCACTAGTAAATTCCCCAAGGCATTTGTGGACACTCCACCATTTTCTAAATAGTCGTACTAGTAATTTGTTAACTTAATTGTTTCTAGTTTCTCCCATCCCAATTTTGGAATGGGAATATTGTCTTTTGCTGCGTTTCTATAAGTTGCTCTATATGTGTAAAGATTTATACACAATGATTTGCTTCAAATTCTACGCGATTCTACGGTAGCTTTTTCTCACCTTAATCTTCTTTCCCACGTTTCTGAGCCTTGGGGAAAATGTAATTTCCTCTTTTCTGGTGAATAAAACAAAAAAAATCAATTAATAGCAGGTGAGATAATAGGCAAAAACCAAACAAATTAAAAAAAAACCCTTCAGTCTAAAATAAAGTCTATTTGAAACCTCACAGGTTTTACTTTAGACTCTAAGGGAGCCCAGCTGTGGTTAAGCACAGCAAAAACAAGAAGACATTTTGGTTCCATTTCTGAAGATGAACTTTGAAGATGTACTTTGAAAACGCCATGTTATGTCTAAACAAAAGGAAGCTGATGTTACAAGGCGCATTTTCATCCTGTCCTTTTTATTGTTTCCAGACACTGGCGCTGTCCCCTTGTACAGCGTGTCCTGTTTTCCCAAGAGGCCGGGACGTTCTCTCTAAACTTTCCTGGATAAGCTGAAATGTGAGACAGTCCAGGAGTGGACACCTGATATCTCTCAAATTATCAGCTTGGTGTTTTGACCTGGCAGGGCTTTCTCTGTGTGTTCCACACATGCATTCCCTTATTCCCTCACTCTTTTTTAAAAAAATTTTATTGAAGTATAGTTGATTTACAATGTTGTGTTAGTTTCTGCTGTACAGCAAAGTGAATCAGTTATATGTATATATATATCCATTCTTTTTTAAATTCTTTCCCCATATAGGTCATTACAGAGTATTGAGAAGAGTTCTCTGTGCTGTACAGTAGGTCCTTATTAGTTATCTATTTTATATATAGTAGTGTGTATATGTCACTCCCAATCTCCCAATTTATCCCTCTCCCCACCTCCCCCTTGGTAACCATAAGTTTGATTTCCCCAATGAGATGTAAAACTCTCTCTTCTACTGACACACACAGCACATTTTGATGGAAACACAGCGGTGGGCAGAAGTGGTCAGGGAGGGGCTGGCAGGGGCGGGAAGCTGCAACCCACTGCCAGGATGGGCTGGGCTTGGATGGGGAGGGCAGAGCCTTCTGCAGAGCCCAGTCTGGAAAGACCTAGACTGTGCATCACGCAAGCAGGCCAAACGAAGAGGAAAAGAATACTTCACCTCTACACTTTTACAGGTTTGTTTTTGTTTTTTTTGCAGTACGCGGGCCTCTCACTGCTGTGGCCTCTCCCGTTGCGGAGCACAGGCTCCGGACGCGCAGGCTCGGCGGCCATGGCTCACGGGCCCAGCCGCTCTGCGGCATGTGGGATCTTCCCGGACCGGGGCACGAACCCATGTTCCCTGCATCGGCAGGCAGACTCTCAACCACTGCGCCACCAGGGAAGCCCTTTTTACAGGTTTGGAACAGAAAGAGGATCGGCCTGCAGTCAGGACCCACGTTTGCTGAAAATTTAGGGTCATGAAGCAAAGAACAGGCATCCTTGCATAGCTGGTACAAAAAGGGACACAGAAAAAATATAGAACCAGATTTTAGTTTCTTAGACACACTGGCAAAGGGTTATCACTCATTTGGCATTCAGAAGGAAAAATGGATGCCTGTAAAAACTCTGGGGATATCTATTTATCACTTATCTACCTATCTATAAACTTTATTTCTTAGAACGGATTTATAGAAAAATTACAAATGTAATATAGAGCATTCCCATTTACCTGATATCTAGTTTGCCCTATTTTTGGAATTAATGATACATTATTATTAATTAAAGACCATTATTATTATTAACTATTATTAGTACCTAAAGACCATACTTTATTCAGATTTCCTAGGTTTTTACCTGATGTCCTTATTTTCTATCCCAGGATCCACATTATGTTTGTTACACGTTACATTACATTTCATCATCATGTCTCCTTGGGCCCCTATTTTATACAAATTCATCAAACAATTAACACATGGTAGGGAGGTCTCATGGAAGGATATCGGCACAAACATTGCCCCAAATCCCTGCATCACCCTCATCAAGTCCTGAAGTTACAAAAAGTCCCTTTGGGAGGGCTGTGATTTTTGGACTGGGTGACCCTCAGCTGCTCACTTGACTTCTTTGAGATTTTGCAAGAGTCGAGTTTTATGGGGGTGGCTTTGCGTCAGTGCCTGAGCCAAGAGTGTGTGGTGTGAATGGCGGGGAGTGTTGTCCCCGTGTCTGTTCCCAAGGACAGCAGGGAGTCACATGGCATGTTCGCCACATCAAACTACCGTCGCCCAAATAACAAGCAGCCAAGGGCTGGGCCAGGGCGGAGAATGATTCCTTAATAGCTGTGCCAGATTCTTGCTAAAGGGGAGGATGGCCTGTTTCAGCCGCCAGCCCCAGGGGGGCAAGGTCTTCTCTCTGCTTTGATGTTTATGGCAGGTCTTTAGTGTAAGCTGGGGACCGGGGTAGGAACCAGGGCCACCAGCTATATCACCCACGTGACCTCCAACAATGTATTAAATATCTCTGAGCCAGACTGATCAGTTCCATCCCTCCCAGAAGTGGGAGAGAGAACTGAGAAACTAAGTCCTGGGGCAAGTTCTTTCCACGTGTGTGCAGCAGGTGTGCATTAAGCACTTACTGTATACTGGGCACGATGCTAGGTGCTGAGGACATGGGGGCGAAGAAGATGCATTTCTTGCCCTCATGGGATCCCCCAAGTTCTGACGCCACGTGAGGGTTTCAGTCTGAGCACCTCGGACAGTAGTATTGCCGCGTCATTACTGTACATATTTAAGGAAAACTGTAAGTTGGTTTGCATTAGCATATTGAGCATTGAGTTGTTTTATTCTAAAAATGCTGCCAGAATGATTAACTGAAAAATCCCCTAAAAATCTGAATGGACAACAACTGTGGTTTGGATAAATGTTTACCAGACCCCTGAGAAATGAATTGCGGGCCTCTCACTGTTGTGGCCTCTCCCGTTGCGGAGCACAGGCTCCGGACGCGCAGGCTCAGCGGCCATGGCTCAAGGGCCTAGCCGCTCCGCGGCATGTGGGATCTTCCCGGACTGGGGCACGAACCCGTGTCCCCTGCATCGGCAGGCGGACTCTCAACCACTGCGCCACCAGGGAAGCCCAGAGAAATGAACTTTTATTGACTTGCTTCTCCTGGCAGAAACCTGCTAACAAAAAATCAAAATATTCCTAATGGTCATATACTGTCTTTGATTTAAAGCCTCTTTCATCTTTAGGAAGGTGGAGGTCACGAGCCTCCCTTTCTGCCAAACCAGGAAACCAGGAAGCCTGGGGCAGGAGCCTCTGGAATCAGAGCCTTTGGTTGACCCCAGGGCAAATTACTTAAAGAGTCTCGAAGATTCCATTTCTTCATTTTTAAAACGTGTATAAGGCTTGCTTTGCCTTCATGTGTCAGCTGCTGTGTAAAATCAATGAACCGATGCCTATAAATATCTTGGCCCAGGCTTGGCACACAGTAGGTGCTCAAAAAACTGGGCGCTCCGCTGCTTAACCCTGGCTTCCCCCTTTGTGAAAATGGAAATACTGCCACCTACCTTGTAGGTGTTGTGAGCAGGCAAATGACTTGAAATAAGGTCTCTGCTGGGCTGAATCCCGGGCTCTGCCCGAGAGGGACATTTGTGGATGACAGCGGGTCTCAGAAGGAGGCTGGACGCGTCATCAAATACCCCTCCAGTGACCAGCTGAAGAACGTGCGTTTACCTGCCCCGGAGAGGCGGTAGGTTCTCTGCGGATGTATCCAATGAGCCGACACAACTCAGTAGAAGGCAAAGCGTCTGTGTCAAGCCCTGCAGTGGCCGGAGGAAAGGGACAGGGGGTTAACCGGTGCCCATCAAGAAAGAGTTTCTCATCTCTTCCTCCCCTGCTCCAAGCTTGGCGGAGAGGATAGCTTCGCAGAGGAAGGAATTAAGAGAATAGAGAAAAACCCAGCATGCCCTCCTTCTGCCGTTAGAGCCTGTAATTTGGCTATAAAGCCCCCTACCCCCTGACCCATCTGCAGACCGACAAGCCAGGGGAATAGCAGACCCTAGTGATAACACACATAAAGTGCCCAGTCCAGAGCCTGGCTCTTAGTAAGGACCGAGCAAAACAGTCTTCATTTCACCTTGACCTTTCTCATCATTCTTCTAAGAGCCATAGCAGTTTCCAAGGGAAACATTCAAAAGAGGAAAGAGATGCTATTGCCCTGTTTGACCCCATTGACTGGGTGGACGCCATCAGCTTAGCAACAGCTCTGTAATCATTATCTCGTGGGTCCCTCCTTCCTTGCCGTGCTGTCTGGTCCATAGTAAATAAATAAATATTTGCTGAATGTTAATTATTTATTTTTATTTCAGCTGCGCCGGGTCTTAGTTGCAGGATCTCTGTTGCGGCATGCGGACTCTTAGCTGCAACATGCATGCAGGATCTAGCTCCCCAACCAGGGATCGAACGCTGGCCCCCTACATTGGGAGGGCGGAGTCTTGACCGCTGGACCACCAGGGAAGTCCCTTTGCTGAATGTTACTGATGCAGGTTCTGGAGGCCGCTCATAAGCTAAAATCTACATGAAGGTTTTTTTCTGCTCACCAGTGTTATATTACTGGGGACTGAACTCTTGGTAGGTATTGCCGAATTGTCTCCCAGAGACTGTATCAATTTACATCCTTTGTGGCATTGAATGATACTGTTAAAAAGAGTAGTCTCTCTAGCAGGTGGAACACGGTCTATTACTGTCTTCTTTTGCAGTTCTTTGTTACTAGGAAGGATGAATACTTTCATTCCCATCAAGAATAAGTGAACAAATTTGGGTCAGGCTATATAGCTCAGATCTTAGCAGGATGTAAGCTTAAGGCCGTCAGTTACAAGAACTGACAGTAGACTCTTTCTGGGTGAGACACCACCTCCTCTATAGTGACAGAAGTATTTGGAATGACATTGCAAATCAGATGCTGAGTTTTCTAAGCAGAGCGCACTTTCCCATCCTTCCTTGACCTTGGCGAATGCCCAGTGATCGAGCTGGAACCTTACAGAACTCAGCTTCCTCCCGTCTTTGCCCACCTCCCACTTCCTGGCTACGCCACCCCCGTTTTAGATGTTAATCTATCCAGTCTTACAGATGCTGAGGTCGCTCGCCTTCCATGCACACATCTGGTGAGATGAGTGTTTCCCTGGCTGGCTTGCATATTACCAGCATCTGTCAACCCTATTTAGTCTTTAATTGCTCTTGGGGCATCTGCAGGAAAAGCCTGCCTTGGGACCTACACACTCATATGAAAACAGTGCAAAGCACTCCCAGGCTGGAGTGCATTTGGAAAGAGTGGTTCAAGTTGATTTTTTATTATTTATTGCTGAGCCATTGAGTCATCATAAAATCAGCGTCCAGCTGAGGCTCCCTTTGGTCCTGTTCAGCCAGCTGTCCCCCTGGTGGAGCGGGTGGTGCCGAGGCATCTGAAGAAATCAGAAAAAAAAAAAAAAGGGAGGCCACCAAGTCCCCTGAGGCCATTGATTCATTTTAGGATGGAAACACCTGTCTTGTTTTATATTAGCTGCCTTGTGACAGTTGCACCTAAAAACAAAAGCAGCGCCTCCAGGTGCAAAGGCACTGAAAGGATCTGAACACAACACCAGAGACAGAACAGCTATGAGTCACTGAAGATTGACTTTGATGCCCTGCAGGTGGAAAATAGGGATTCTTCCCAGAGACGGGTGGGGTGTGGGCACCAGTCTTTAACTCCCCCCCTACCCACCAAATAAATGATCCAGACAGACAGGCACCATGAAATCTCTACATTGGCAGATGGCACAGAGTTCCCCAGAAAGTGCCTGGCCAGGCTGATGGGGATACACTGCAGGAAAAGCTTTGGAGTCTGCCTTAATGGGCAGGAATGTGGTGGATGGGTTTCAGTGAGGTGAAGTATCTGGTAATGGATCCACTCGGGGCAGGCATAATGGGCTCTGCGTACTGGTGATAGCTTTAGAAAGAGGTCTGGCTGTATCGGGCTGGGGTTTTAGGGATGATCTGCTCTATGCTCTTAGGACTATCGTGAAAATATTGGCCAGCACCAAAATGAGCGTTGGTGACAAGGTGGAGAATCTTATTCTCCACCTTGTCCTAAGATCTGCAACGCCATGGGCAGCTTGATTTGCCCCATATCCACGAAGACCTCATTTTTCAGTGATGTTAATAACCCTTCCTTTGAATCAGCAAGCAGTGACTCCACATCTGTGCCTCTGACCGTTTCTGGATTCCATTGTATCCAAACTTCCTCAATCAGCACGGGGTAGAAGACAGGGCCTCTGCTTGGGCACAGAGCTGGCCTTCTCCCCTCTTTGCTTCCAAGGATTGTCTGGGTCTTGGCTAGAGGGTCTCCAGTACCAGCTCCTTCCTGCCCCGTGCCTTTGGGAGCAATACTGTAGCAGGAGAAAACAAACACAACAGCAAGATGATGTCTCAGTGGACATTTGTTGGTTGCCTTCCTTCATCCACTGCCTCTTCTCCCCTTCCTATTGGGGCCACAAATTTTAAAGCCATGTGACTTCGGGTGAGATTGATCTCACCCTCAGCACTAAGGTGGATCCTAATTGGCTTAATACAATGTCCTCATCCCGTTTCCCTGGACACTGTATTTGGTTCATTGATGAGCATTTAATTTTAGGCCAAGAAACTGAGAGGAGACATTTGCTAGGGGCATCTGGGAAATAAATTTCTTTTTTTTCCCAAAGGAGTTGCAAGCCACTGTTCTCCTAATAAGAGCGGAGCCAGCCTCTGAGGGAAGCTGACATGGTAAAAGGCAAAGGGGAGAGAGAGAAATAGAAACTGGGATCTAGGTGACATCATCAAGCTGCTAGATCAAGCCATACCTGAAGTCCACATACCTCTAGACTTTTAGTTTTTATGTTGAAGCATATGAAATTGCCAGTACTTATAATTATCCTAAGGCACACAGCAGCAAACACATCCCAAGGGATTCTTTGAGACGAGACTACCAAATTTTGTGTGCGTATCAGCTGTTCACTTTGCACTTTGACCTTTCTGCAAGCTGGGTTCCCCAACCTTAGCTTAGTCACCCTTTAGTTCATCCTACACACTCCCTTCATATTAATTTTGCTTCAACACTGCAGTTTCCACACTTGTGCTTCAAAGCCAACAATGGTGCTTTAGGGCTTTCCGCGTGAAGGATAAACACAGTTGCCTGGCCTTACTCCAATAAGCTTTTCTAACCTTATTCTCCATGACTCCCAAATAGAAGAACCCTCCATTCCACTCAAACTAGGCTTCATTCTGACCATAGGCTGTGCCACCTCCACATGAGCCTATAATTAATTTTCTTTCTGCTTACACCTCTCTCAGCGTGTCTGTCTCTCTCCTTCATTGCCCCTCCGGGTATACTTAAGGCTATGTTGGGGCAACTTATAGTTAACGAGTTCTTTAACCAGATCTCTCTCTCCAATGAATTCCTAGCACTCTTGAAATCTATGCCATGCAATCTTTAATTAATTACATATTAATGGCTTCACGCCTACAAACCTAACCTCCTAAGGTTACATGGACCATATATTATATCTGTTTCATAAACTTCCTACCCAGCACGGTTTGGTGCACACAGCAGAAACAAAGGCATAAATATTAAATAACTGACATTTTCCAGACTTAAAACATTTAGGCCACTCAGCTTAGCACTGGGTACAAACGAGCCCAGAAGCCAAACGATGAGGGTTTATCCAAGCTGATGTTCTGAACTTGAGACCTTCTGCCTGTTCCCTAGGAAAGTTTCATCCAGCAAGATCATTTTTCCAACATCAACTCTAAAGATTTTTTTTTTCTGATGTGGACCATTTACAAAGTCTTTATTGAATTTGTTATAATACTGCTTCTGTTTTTTTCATATTTTGTTTTTTTTGGCTGTGAGTCCTGTGGGAGCTTAGCTCCCCAACCAGGGATCGAACCTGCATTCCCTGCAATGGAAGGCGAAGACCTAACCACTGGACTGCCAGGGAAGTCCCTGACAACAATTCTAACACACTTTCTTGTGTTCAGGCAAACCTGTGGGTTTCAGCCCAGACAATGAGAGGGAAACATTGATACTTTAACCCAAACGCAGCTTAAGAAACCTTGGAGGGTTCCGACGGACAGAGCTGAACCAAGGCTTCTTGCAGCCCGGCTTCTGGTTCTCAAGCCCTCGGTGGAGAGACAACTTCCTTTGAATTCCATAAGGCATTGTGGACACTGAACAGACTTGCAAACCCAATCGAATGAGCTAAGCGTCCACGGACCCAGAAACACCAAACCTATGTTTGTCTTAAAATAAACAAGCATAAAGCATTTAAGCAAGAAGGTTCTCAGGGGCAAACCCTGGTTGGATTTTAGCAGATCTGAAAACACTTGAAACATAGTCAAAAGACTTTTTGCTAATCCCAAGACATTTGCAAAATGGTTCTACCTTTTTGTGGCCTCCTGGCTCTTCCAGACCCCCATGGATGCACCCGTCTACCCGCAGACAAACCCTCCAGCTGCTCAACACAAGTAAACTCATCAAGGAACCATGAGAGTGGGCAGTGGACAGCACAGATGGGCACTGGGGGGGCTATTCATCATGAATGTCCTTGTTCATCCTTTTCCGCCATCAGGGATGACTGAGAGCAGATACTTTTCTGTCTTACACTTTGAATTCTCAAAAGAAAGAAGAGTAATACATGCATCGGTAGGCTACTTCAGTGTTCCATAAACCTTGAGCTGCCAGGAGGTTTGCTTCTATCATGGAATCTCTTCAAATCCCATGGGCTCTTATTCTTTATCATAATTCTTTGAATATCTGAAACCCGTGACGTTTAAGTGAGTCTTCTCGTTCAGGGGTTAAGTCATCATATTTGTTTTTCTCCCAGTTCTAATTTTCTAACACTGTCATCCTTTTTTCGAGTTTCCTCTATTTTTGTTTCCCTAGGGGCATCCTTTGGGACAGAAAGTGAGTTTAACCCTTAGACATTGACACCTGGTTTCCTCTGAGTTTCAACTTTAGGGGGATTTCAGAGCAATACTTACTCCAAGGTAACTCTTTGAGCTCACCCATTCTCTGCAGCGTGGGGAGAATTCCTAAATCTATTTCATGTATTTCAGCCATACCTGGTAGGACTCAACTAAAAGAATTTTATTGATTGAAACATCTGACAGTAAGTTGGATTTTAGTTTAACTGGAAGATTCTGTATAACCCAGGGAAATAAGACAACTGGAAAGTTTGCATTTTACTTGGCACTTTTTTATAGTTCCCAGATCTTGTAAAAAAACATGGGGGAGGCGGGATGGCAGGATAAAGCAATAGAGTTTTTAAATCAAATGAAAGCTGAATGTGGACGAGGCCAAGGTTTCTTGCCTATTGCTATCCTCCATGAATAAGAGAGAAGAAAATTTCCTTCACTCTGTTGAACAGAATATTACGCTGGAAAACTATTAATTTTAGGTGCTGAAAATCAGCTATTTCCTGTAACATACACTAGCCCATACTTTTTTTTTTTTCTTTCACAAAACTGTTATTGTTTCTGTTACAAAAGTCACACAAGTTCATTCTGGAAAACTTTTTGAAAAAAAACCAGAAGCAAAATGAAGAAAATTTAAAATTGCTCAAAGCTCGCTGCATGCAGAAATTCAATTAATAAAAAATTAGTGGGGCTTCCCTGGTGGCGCAGTGGTTGAGAGTCCGCCTGCCAATACAGGGGACACGGGTTTGTGCCCCGGTCCGGGAGGATCCCACGTGCCGTGGAGCGGCTGGGCCCGTGAGCCATGGCCGCTGAGCCTGCGCGTCCGGAGCCTGTGCTCCGCAGCGGGAGAGGCCACAACGGTGAGAGGCCAGCATACCGCAAAAAAAAAAAATAAAAAAATTAGTGGTTTAATAAAGTATATAAATGTCTAGTACTTTTATATCTATTTTCTCTCATATATTCTATCTTTCTCTCTTGCAAAAACTAAAGTTGAAATTATACTGGACATTCTGCTTCATAACTTACTTTTTTCATGATAGAAGTTATTCCTAAATAGGATTTTTTTTTTTCTGGCTGAGATATAAGGTTATATTCTAATCCCCATAATGCTTTTCTACCATAACAAACATCCTTGGATCTAAATCTTTATGCCCAGACAAGGTCTCTCCTTACGAGGCATTTCTGGACGAGAAATTGCTGGGTCAAAGGAGATGCAGAATTGTAGGGCTTTGGCGTAAGGGTTGCCTAGCTGCCTTCCAGAAAGATTAAATAATTTCGCACATCCACCAGCACGGTATAAATATTTCCTCATACAAATTCTGGATATTTTAATTGAAAATTGATAGATACAAAATAATAGCTCATTATTTTATTTGATTATTAACGAGCTTGAATATTTTCATATAAAATACCGCCATTATATCCATACTGTTGTATACCCCAGTAAGACGTAATTTAAAATTAGTTATTCATTTCATTTTTATATAGTAAGTATAGCAACTCTGTGCTTTCTCTCATATGTTGAAAATATTCCACATATAACAACAAGGTCCTACTGCACAGCACAGAGAACTATATTCAGTATCCTATGATAAACCACATGGAAAAGAATACAAAAAAAAGAATGTATATATATGTACAATTGAATCACTTTGCTGTATAGCAGAAATTAACACAACATTGTAAATCAACTATAATTTAAAAAAATTTTTTAATTAAAAAACGAAGATATTCCTTTCAATCTAACAGCAGCTGGGCTAGTAAACAATGCACAGGTTACCAGGTAAGAACAGAGCATCTTATTCTGTTCAATCAGAGGCTGTTTACCCTTTAACAGTCTCCTGCACAGAGGTTCATGCCCAAGACGGGTTTAGACTAGGCTGCTTCTGAGTTCTTTCTTATACCTGACATTCTTCCTCCTTTCCTACACTTAGAAATAAAGCATCCTTGGTCCATTAGGAGAAGAGGCAGAGTGGAGGAGCGTGGGGACCGGGTGGCCCTGCAGGCTGGGCTGTGACAAAGTGGCTCCGAGTCTGCTCATTTCTCCTCTCTGGGGTCCCACGTGCCTGCCACGCCCCTGCCACGCTGGCCCTGACCGCCATCCTCCTTCCTACAACACTTGTACAACTTCCCTTTAAGGCTTCTGTGGCGCGTTGCAACTTACAGCCAGAAACTGGATTCTTGTACCTACGTGTGCGAGTTTCCTCTGGCTGCTGTAACCAAGTGACACCAGCTGGCTTCAAACAAGGGACATTTATTCTCTCACAGTTCTGGAGGCCAGAAGCCCTAAATC